ATTATGCTGCCTCCAAGAGACTCCTCTCATAGATAGAAAAAGACATCCACAGACTGAAGGTGAAGGGTTGGGCAAAACCATACCACTCACGTGGACTGCAGAAGCAAGCAGGGGTTTCCATCCTCATATAAAATAGAGCAGACTTCAAACTAAAGTCAATCAAAAAGAATAAAGAAGGACACTATATACTACTCAAGGGAACCATACACCGACAAGACTTAACAATTATTAATATATATGTGCCAAACAATGGAGCAACTACATCCATCAAACAAACTCTTCTCAAGTTCAAGAGAAAATAGACCATAACACAATAATGTTGTGACTTTAACACACCTCTTTCATCACTAGATAGATCTCCAAACAAAAGAAGAACAAAGAAACTATAAAACTCAATAATACAATCAATAACTTAGACTTAACTGGCATATATAGAATATTTCATCTTTCAACAAGAGAATACACTTGCTTCTCAGCAGCACATGGATCCTTCTCTAAAACAGACCAAATACTATGCCCTAAAGCAATTCTTAGCAAACATAAAAAAGCAGAGATACTACCCTGCATTCTATCAGATCATAATTGAATGAAATTAGAAATCAATGATAAAATAAGAAATAAAATCCACTCCAACACCTGGAGACTAAATAATATGCTACTAAATGAACAATGGGTTAAAGAAGACATCAAAGAGGAGATTTAAAAATTTTTAGAGGTGAATGAGAACACAGATACAACAATATCAAAATCTCAGGGACACTATGAAAGCAGTTCTAAGAGGAAAGTTCATTGCATGGAGTTCATTCCTTAAAAGAAGAAAAAGTCAACAAATAAATGACTTAATATTACATCTCAAAGCCCTAGGAAAAGAAGAACAAATCAACACCAAAAGAAGCAGAAGACAGGAAATAATTAAAATCAGAGCTGAAGTAAATGAAATTGAAAAAATTGATAGAACAAGAAGTTGATTCTTTGAAAAAATAAATAAAATTGACAGACCCTTAGCCATGTTTAATGAAGAGGAGAGAGAGAACTCAAATCACTAACATATGTGATGAAAAAAGAAATATCACAACAGACACTATAGAAATACAGAAGATAATTAGAAATTATTTTGAAAACTTGTACACTAATGAAAGAAAATATAGAAGGCATCAACAAATTTTTGAGTCATATAATTTGCCCAAATTGAATCAGGATGAGATACACAATTTAAAAGATCAATTTCAAGTGACAAAATAGCAGACACCATCAGAAGCCTACCAACCAAGAAAAGCCCAGGGCTGGAGGGATACACAGCCAAGTTCTACAAGACCTTTAAGGAAGAACTAAAACCAATACTCTCCAATTTACTTCAGGAAATAGAAAAAGAGGCAGCACTTCCAAACTCATTCTATCGGGCCAATATCACTCTGATTCCAAAACCAGGCAAATACACATCAAAAAAAAAAGAAAACTTCAAACCTGAAAGAACGAACAAGGCTCACCATCGGAGAAAATGCCCATTTATTGAGGAACAGCTCTGCATATTTATAGAGCTGGGGGTGGTTTGACAGTTATGACAGTTTAATGGTTGAACAGTTTAACAGTTGGCATGAGGTGCTTTCTGATTGGTGGATAAGGATCATGGGAGCCATCAGGGCTAGTCTGATTGGTGGGTAAGAATCATGTGAGCCAGCAGGGCTAGTCTGATTGGTGGGTAAGGATCATGTGAGCCAGCAGGGCTAGTCTGATTGGTGGGTAAGGATCATGTGAGCCAGCAGGGCTCACCATTGGACAGCTCTTTTCAGGGGATGGGGAAGTTAGTCTTTGGAGCCAGGGCAACTCCCAACAAGACCAATATCTATAATTAACATAGATGCAAAAATTCTCAATAAAATTCTAGAAAATCAAATACAAAAACATATCAAAAAAATCATGCACCACAATCAAGTGGGATTCATCCCAGGGATGCAAGATTGGTTCAACACCCGGAAATTAGTAAATGTAATTCATCACATCAATAGACTTAAATATAAGAACCATATGGTCATCTCAATAGATGCAGAAAAAGGATTTGACAAAAATACAGTGCCCCTTTAAGTTCAAAACACTAGAAAAACTAGGGATAATAGGAACATATCTCAACATCATACAGGCTGTCTATGCTAAGCCCCAGGCCAACATCATTCAAAATGGAGAAAAATTGAGGGCATTCCCTCTAAAAACTGGAACAAGACAGGGATGCCCTCTTTGACTACTTCTATTTAACATAGTTCTTGAAACATTGGCCAGAGCAATTAGAAAGACAAAAGAAATTAAAAAGATACACATAGAAAAAGAAGAACTCAAATTGGCACTATTTACTGATGATAAGATTCTATACCTGGAAGACCCTAAAAGTTCAATCAGAAAACTTCTAGAACTAGTAAATGAATTCAGCAAAGTAGCAGGATATAAAATCAACACCATAAATCAAAGGCATTTCTGTATATCAGTGACAAATCCTCAGAAAGGGAAATGAGGAAAACTATCCCATTTACAATAGCCTCAAAAAAAAATAAAATATTTGGGAGTCAACTTAATGAAAGAGGTGAAAGATATATACAATGAAAATTACAGCACCCTAAAGAAAGAAATCAAAGAAGACCTTAGAAGATGGAAAGATCTACCTTGCTTTTGGATAGGCAGAATTAATATTATCAAAATGACCATACTTCCAAAAGCACTATACAGATTTAATGCAATTCTGATCAAAATCCCAATGACATTCCCCATTGAAATTAAAAAAGCAATCATAAAATTCACCTGGAAAAATAAGAGACCCAGAATAGCTAAGGCAATCCTTAGCAGGAAGAGTGAAGCAGTGGCATCACTATACCAGACCTTAAACTATACTACAGAACAATAGTAATAAAAACAGCCTGGTATTGGCACCAAAACAGACTGGTAGACCAATGGTACAGAATAGAGGACACAGAGACTAACCCACAAA